CTATGTTCAGCCAGCAATTCTACTCATAGAGTACAGCCTCGTCTACAGTACCTAACCAAATATGAATACAAAATTAATATGTGCTGCGGTCTCGAAGTAATTGCGATTTCACGGTTAAACACATTTTTTGATATTTAATGTGACTCCCGAACAAACGTCTGTTCTCACGAGCCATTCATCGCCCGTCTCTCTCACTCATACTCTCTAGCTCACACTCACAGTGTTGTCATTCTTGACATTGATGTAATAAACTTTTGTTATGTATAGAGATAAAAAACCTGATGTAATTTGCGAAGCACAACCAATAAACCTGTTCCAGTACAGTGACGACATATTCGGCTCGTAATTAAACAATAATACCGACCTCATTCAATCAAATTAATTTATTACAGTAAGTTTAATTTAAGAAGGTTAGAGGTATGAAAACAGCAAAAATATTAATAAATAAAATATAAAAAAGTATAAATTTGTTATTAATGGAATGTGTGTGTGTGTGCGTATGCGCTCGTGCGTGCGCGTGCATGTGTATTTGTGTATTATTGCGTATATGTGTATTATTTGAGAAGCATATGTCAATACTTTGAGAACCGTGTGAACATAACTAAACGAATAATGTTAAAAAAACAAAAAGACAAAGGCTCGGTTGTGTAGTGCCACTAATTGGGTAGAGTGTTTACGCTTTGCGTGGGCAGCGTCTATGCCGCGGCGCGAGCGCCTGCCCACAGATCCACATTTTTTTCTATAAAACACGATATAGACAAGTTTAGGTACTTTTAAATGACCGAGTTAGTATGTTTTCTGGATTTTGAATAAGTTTTCTAGATTTGTATCTGTGCAAGTTACTCAAGTTGTAAAACAAGGTTATTTAGGAATAGTTTTGTTTGGGAGAAATTTTAATAGCAATAAGATGTAGAGTTGGCCATATGAAAACCAATTTCTTTTTCTAGCAATGGGCACAACCATAGATGGCACAACAAATAACATTCAAGTAGATCCTAATAGATAAATAGAATTGATAAAGATAAACTTCACAAAAACTTAGTTTTGGAGTAATTTGGAAGTTAAGCTTAATTTTCATCGTCACAGATTTAATTAAATTCTGTATTTCTTTCTAAATACATTTTTCTATCACGACAATAATGAATGCTGTGAGTGTCTAGTTAGCAAACCGCCATCCTTCTATGTCTGTGGTTCTGGATTTGATTTCCGCCGACGGGCACGCTCTAGTAAGTCATTTTCGAGCATGTGCAGCGTAGATTACTTGCTTTATGGTGATGGAAAAACATCATCGTTATTACGGCTTGCGGAAAAACTTTATAATATAATAATAAAATTTCACTCCAGCACACTCCCAGATGGCTTCGGGTTCGATTCCCGGGCCGGGAGAAATATTTGTACGGCCTATATTTATTTATCTCGTGAGTTTGGGTGTAATATGTGGTTGTTTATGTGTGTGTCCATGGTACCCGCGATACAAGGTTTCCCCTTAGTGCGAGTGTGTGCGTTAAAAAATAATATATAAAATTCATTGTCCATATCGTCCTACCGGGAATGGAACGTCGTAGTGCAAAGCGGTAGGCCACTGATATCGACCGTTTCTTGTTGGAAGACGTACGAAATCTCCAATTGACAAGCCAGTGTAGCGGGTTCTGGCTTAAAACTTAAAGGAGATAGTGCTTGGAAGAAATAATTGCTCAACAATAAGACATTGTTGGAGCAGTAGAGCTCTTTGTAAATGAGTTCGTCCAGGGTCGTACTGCTACCGTACCTATTTCTGCCGCCAAGCAGTAATGTCAGCATTACTGTATTCCGGTTTTGAAGGGTAAGGATGCTGGTGATATAATAACCACCACTTATAACAACCACTTGTCAACTTACGTCTTAGGGTGACGAGCGCAGTGACAGTGCCCCTCAGATCTTTGCGGTTTAAAGCTCTGAGTGGCACTGCAAGTGTTATGGACAGGCGTGTCGCTTACCACCAGGCGCACGACTTATTCGTCCCGTCACTAGACATCATAAAAATAATTTGATTCTTATTGAGTTGATGATGATAATGTTGAAGTCGTCAAGAAATATCTACAAGGGTAAATTTAAAAGTCTTCAAGGACACGTGAGGCCCCTTTTGAGCCAGTGTGGTAAACCAAAACCTAGACATTATAATCCAAACCTTTTCAGCAGTGCGTGGATGTATATAACGTATATGGGTTGTTGATCATTAGGTCAAGAACTCGCAACACGTAAGTAATAAAAATAGCAGATTTGAATCACAGTGGATGGGATGATTTCGGCTTGCAGCCATGACATCATGCGTGGCTTGAATTTGTTTACTCGTAAGATTATAATGAGAAATAGGTGACTACTTGGCAGATCCATTACACCTAATGTTCACAGTGTTATCGGCATAATATAAACATAGCTATTGAAATACCTATTTGGATAATTGTACTTTGTACATACAGCGCATTATCGATGTTATTGGGCATTAAAGATGGATTTTTTTTAAATGCATGTTATGTTGCTGTATGTTTGAAACCAGTTTGTTAACTTATGATTAAAATGATTTTTAAGTAAGAGATGCAATTCGCTCTAATTTTGATGGAACTCAACGAGTAGGTAAACAGATGCTTGTCTTTACACAATTTATTTAAAAATAACTCTCGCCTCGTACCGTGCAAGACAAGGACGTCGTAAATATACACTGAAACAACATCAAGGCTGTTGAAAAACATAATGAAGATGTTTGCGTAAAATCGAACGTTCGATCAATTTGAGGCGCAAATTACGAAGTTTTATATTCACCTTTTTATGGCGCCAGAAGTCAAAGCTAATCCAAATTTTAAAAAAAATACACTCGTATGTTTATCACAATTAAAGTTCAATCACTGCAATGTTAAGGGTACTCGATTAAACACCGCCGATCAACAGCGATAACAAGTACGGAACACAGAAATGAGGACAGCACTAAACATACGTCCAACTTGGGCGTCGAATACCGGCGATCTGAGAGTGTTCAGCCACAGAGTGCTTTGAGCTCGGTCGTGTTTGCGGATCATTCAAGCGTGGGGCAGTAGCGCGCCAACTGACATAAGTTATGGAGATGATAACGTTAATAATGTCTATAATTATTCCCCGATCTCTGTTAATGTAGCAGGATTAGGACGGATTCTTATTTGGCTTAAAATTTATGGAGGGAATTAACTGATCTAAAGAAGACCCGTCTCTATAATGTGAGGTGGGCTGTATAAAAAAAAACTACATACACCTGCACAATATACTCTACTATACTCTCCTTGTCATAACTAAAACTAAATAAGATATAAAAAAACCTATTATAGGGGGTTGTAGATCTAGTTTTGCTGATGCCATATTATTATGTCAGTAAATAAATTTCGTTAAAAATGTCGATTACATTAGTTATGATTAGGCAGGAAGCGGAATATAAACAAAGTGAGATTATATTCAATTAAATAAGAATTAGACATAGAATAGCAATTGAATTAACGTCTTTTAACATCCACTTGCAAGGTTGCAGCCTTACTAGTTAAGTTTTTTTTATAACATCAAGTGACGGTACGAACAAGTTGTGCGCGTGACGTAAGCTACACGCCTGTCCATAATAGTACAGTGCCACTCAGACCTTTAAATTGCAAAGATCTAAGGGACACTACCACTGCGCTCGTCACCCTGAGACATAAGTTGATAAGTCCCATGTGCTTGTAATTTCACCAGCACCCTTACCCTTCAAAACCGGAACACAGCAATGCTGACATTACTGCTTGGCGGCAGATATAGGTAAGGTGGCAGTACTTCCCTGGACGAACTCTTTCACAAGGAGCTCTACTGCAACTAAGTTAAACAAAACGCATTTTTTCATTTACAATTTTAACAAATAAATTCAACTAGATTGCCCTGTCAAACCAAAATTCTGTAATATCGAAAACAGCGTGTTGAAAAAAAGCTGCGTAAAGGATTTTTCGGATTTTTTGCAATTTTTGAGGTTAATAACATAAAAAGACACTTTTAACTTACGTTGTACATTAGATATTAAAGAAATCTATCTAGCTATTATAATTTTATTTTGAAAAATAAGCTATTTCTATTGAAAAACGAATACATTTCTTTTACCTTGATAACAGCCGAAAGATTCTTGTTGATAAAATTACAAAATACTGTATTGAGCCTTGCAGTGTTTTTGTTTGACATGTAATGTTTACGAAGTTTACAAGAATGCAAAATCAACCTTGAATCACTCAACAAACCTGTATTAGTAGGAAATTAAAACAATTTAATAAAAAATGACAGTCACCCACAGTTTATTTTCAAACTAGACCTAAAATACAAAAAGTAAGATAACCGACTAGACTTTTGAAGAAAAAAAAACACTGCATTACTTTGGGTATTTAACTCATGTTCTGCTAAATGTAACGGTGAGTATAATGACGAAAGAATCTGCTATTTTTTAGCCTTAAGACGAAAGAAAAGAGGGGCGTGTTAAGTTTCACGTCATTGTCTGTCTGACATTACTCTCATATTAATCCGCTGTATTCAAATCAATACACTTTTTGTTTGAAAGTAGCGTTATTTGAGATGATTTTCGATGAATAGCCTTGAATACCGCAGCAGTGTTCATCAACGTTTTTTTATGATATCAAGTGATGGGACGAACAAGTCGTGCGCCTGGTGGTAACAGACGCGCCTGTCACCCTGTGACATAAGTTAACAAATCTCATGCGCTTTTAATTTCACCAGCACCCTCACCCTTCAAAACTGGAATGTAATAGTACTCACGTTACTGGTTATCGGCAGAACAACGTAAGGTAGCAATACTTCTCTGGACGAGCCATTTCATAAGGAGCGGATAAAACACGTAAAATAAATGGCTATATATTTTGTATTTAATTTGTTTTGTTATTAATTTCTTTGCCATTTCCTCACGATCTTTACGTTTCAATAATATTTGTGAACGGATTTCAACCTTCTAAGGCCCTGTGTACAACAACAGCACATTAAGTGTTAGAATTGTGTACTTATTTCTACCATAATTGTGTATATTGTCATTAATATGTGATAATTCTGTTATTATTTTAATAAGTAATTTTATCAAGTAAATAATTTGGTTACTGTAAATATCAAAATTATATAAAATTAACATTTAGCGAAATGATTCAGAAAAATACCACGTGTTCCGGGCACAAACAACTTTGACGTTGGGCGACCGGTTGTTTGTGCTGGGATATAAAAAGCAGTCAATGATGATGCCGAGGCATTCTTGATGCAGTGTTCAGTCCTAAACAAACTTTGCCGGCTAAAAGTTAAGTAAAAATTATTACATTATTTATCGTTCCTTTGCTCTAATTATTATGTAGTACATAGTGAATTAATTGCATATAAAATATTACTGTTTGTGGGGATACATTTTAGTAAGTGCCAACTAAGCAAATGCAAAAGTTTAATTATTATAACGAATATTGTGAGTATGTGATATTTGTTATGCACCAAGGGTAATTATGTGTGAAATACAGTAGAATCGATTGGTTAGATATAACGCGTGTTCTGTGTATGTAATATTTGTAACATGCTATGCTAAAATTATGGTATTATATAATAAATACTATATTATAAAACGAATATAAGTGGGTGGGACATTTGCTTATATATGTGTTTATAAGAGATATTTCTTAATGTTTAAGTATTAAAATTATGTGTGTTTCGAGGCATAAAGTATAATTAAAATGGATTTGTATAGATCTATCACTGAGTAGCGTGCTTATGAGTAAATAATTAGGTACAAAACGAATAGGATTCCAATATATAAAAATAAAACATTGATTACAGTATTAAGCATTGTATTTCATTCTGTTAACACCTGTTCCTTAATATAAGCTATATACTTCTGTTCGAATAACGCCTGCAGAACAATGGAATAAGATCCGTCAATGTGATATGTTGCCGTATTACATTGAAGTATACATCGAACGCTGGAATGATAAAACTTCTAGAGCGATTTATAGTTATTTGTTATGCAAGGCTGCAAAGTTGTTGTTTGACGTTTTCAAGCCACGAGACGCAAAACAACTTTGCTGCCTAAATTGTTTACTTTACTTGTTTGTTTGTTAAATATGCCTTTTTAATTATTGTTCAAAAGAATTTGCCACAACTGAAGTTACAGGGGTTTGATATTTTTATATGCAGTAGAGTTTCTTGTGAAAGAGTTCGTTCAGGGAAGTACTGCCACCTTATCTATTTCTGTATGTATAGTATAGTTGAGTATGTTTAGAATTCTTTAAACTTAAGCGAGATCCGTCTGATGACATGTCGACTCATATATCGAAATTAAAAAATCTGTGGCATAGTCTGAAGGAAGAGTTACTGAAAGAAGAAAAGGTGGAACTACCTGAAGTACTTCCAATCTGTAAAATCCTGCACACGCTGCCGGATACTTATTTTTCATTTAAGTCGAGCTGGCTGTTAATGTCAAATAATCATAGAACAGTAGACAATATTACGGGCCAATTGTGTGCACACGTAAAAGCACTCAACGCTAATGTTGTTGATGTTGCGTCAAGTGAAACTGCGCTTTATGTGAAGGTAAATAAAAAGGTTTTTAAGCGGAAAGACCACAAAGACCGAGGGACAAAGAAGAAGTATAAATGTTTTATTTATATGGAACTTGGTCATCTCAAAAAGGATTGCCCAAAGGGTGGCAACAAGGAGGAGGAAAACAAACCTAATTAGTAGTTCTAATATGATGTTACTAACGGCGAATTCATCAGATTCTGGCACTGATTGTGATGATTGGCATGTGGACAACGGTGCTACACATCATGTCACTATGCGAGGAGATCTATTCCGAGATTTTGAATACTTTGGTGAAACTCACACAGTAACTACAGCAGACAGAAACATGGTAAAGGCTGTTGGGAAAGGCACAGTTCATGTCGAAGCCAATGCCAATGTTAGAGATAAGATTGAAAACCTTATCTTAAGAGATGTTTGGTATGTTCCCCAGATTAGCAAAAACCTTTTCTCAGTGCTTAGTTCACAGGATAGAAATCCCACAAGCCTATTTGAGTCAAGGGTGACAAAATGTTAAATGAAGGTTAATGATGGTATTGTTTTAACAGGGATAAGGCAAAGGTATCTGCATAAGGTAGATTGCAAAGCCGTACGCCCTGCTGTTTCAATCAATTTAATAGAACACGGAGATAAACTTCAATTATACCATGAAAGGTTAGGACATCAAAATAAATAGCATGTCAATATATTCATAGAGAGAGAACTAGGAAAAAAGACGTCAGATAATGGAGAACTATGCGAAGGGTGTGTTTTTGGAAAAGCACATAGACAACCATTTGGTGTTCGCGAAAAAGCTACCAAGTCCGGTGAACGTATACACTCTGACGTTTGTGGTCCCTTCCTTGCAAGTATTTCTAGATATCGATACTTCGTATTATTCAACAATGAGTTTACACGATACAGCGATGTGTATTTCTTGAAAAATAAATCCGATGTATATAAAAAGCTAAAACAAATGTTGTCTGAGACTAAAAATGCTGGACACATTGTCAAGCAGCTTTCAAGTGATACTGGGGGAGAACACATTAATAAGAAAGTACGAGATCTACTTGAACAAAGTGGAATAAAGTACAGGCTTATTACGCTTTACACGCCAGAACAGAATGGGTGTAGCGAAAGGGAAAGCCGCACTACAGTCGAATCTGCTAGAGCAATGATGCACGCGTATGAAGAGTTACATTAGAATTTGTGGGCTGAGATGGTAAATACTGCTGTTTATATTCTGAACAGGACAATACAAACTACGTGGAATACAAATCGCCTTATGAACTTTGGCTTAATAAGAAACCACAGATAAAGCACTTGAACCAATTATCCAATTGGTTCACTTTGCTTTGTACCAAAGCAGAGGAGAAAGAAAATGCAAAAGAAAGCTACACGTTGCGTTTTAATTGCCTACAACGATGATGATGGGTATACATCTTTGGGACCCAAATAAAAATTCATTGGTAAGGTCTAGGGACGTTATATTCGATGAAAAAGCTTTAAGAAATGAATGAGCCCATAAATAATGAAAATGAAGTTGAGGTGGATCTTTCTAGAAGTTTTTCTACAGCTAATGAAAAAAAGTTCAAAATGGCATCGATGAACAAAATTTGGAAGCCGATGAGGAATATCATGATGTTCAAAACATTTGCCAGAAAAGTCTATTGAATCGGAGAAGAATAATATTGTTAACGAAGATGATACCATTGATGAAACTAACGATGACGAAGGTGATATCAGTGATGAAGACAATGCCGTAGACGAAGGTATTTTAAGTCAAGCTCACGTCGTTTATGAAGATGTATTCCCGGACCATCATCTGATACTTCGTGATCGCTCTTCATTACGTGCCTCAATCGATTCAAAGACTTTATCATGAACGCTGTAACGGGATACAACGAGCCGACGTCGCATAAATACACAATTAGAAACCCGGAGAAGGAGCTATGGGAAGAAGCCAAGGACAGTGAAATTAACTCACTAAAAGAAAATGATACGTGGAAGCTTGTAAACCTACCGAAAGGAAGAAAAGCCATACCCTGCAAGTGGGTAATTCCAGTCAAAATGAACGCTGATCGCTCTGTAGATAAATATAAGGCAAGACTGGTAATTAAAGGTTTTCACCAGAAAAAGGGCATTGACTACGAACAGACGTTTAGCCCGGTTACTAGGATGGGAACCGTTCGCCCTGTATTGAGTGTAGCAGTGATGCTCCAGTTTGATATCACAACTGCCTTCTTATATGGATCTCTGGGTGAAGAAATTTTTATGAAACAACCGGAAGGCTATGACGACGGTTCGGATCTAGATTGTTTTTTGCAGAACAGTCTTTATGGGTTAAAGCAAGCACCACGATGCTGGAACCGTTGTATTGCAGACTTCTTCAATGAAAATGGTTTTAAGATAGGTAAGTGAAGTAGATTCATGTCTTTTCATAAAAAAACAGCGTATCGGAAAAGCGATTGTGGCTTTGTACGTGGATGATGGCCTGGTCGCTGGATCAAGTCAAGTTCTGCTAGACGAGTTAATTAAGGAACTCAATAGTTGGTTCAAGATAACCACAAAGCCTGTCTTTTATTTAATTTGAATACAGATAGAGAGCAGAGGAGATGGAATCAAAATATTCCAAACTTCTTATGTACAGAAGATCTTGAGGAAATTAGGGATGGATATTTGTAAACCAATCTCGACGCCGATTGTAAAAGACTGTAGAAAATACTTAAGAAAATACTTTTTTCTTCTATTTATTGGATTGCCGTTGTTTTTCTAAAATCTTACCAGAAAATGCAAAGGTTAAAAACCATACAGCCAAGTCTTGGCGAATTTTTCTTTCATACGCCAGGTCTTCAGTCTATTATTTTACTAATAGTTTATAATTGCTACAACTTTGCACAGCGCATAATTAGTTTTTTGTGTTTTTCTTTGCCGCTTGCGCTTTGGTACACTCTAATGTCTTTTTAGTACCTATTTAAAATCAATAGTTTGTCGATAGTCTTATTTAGTCGGTGGGTAATTGGTTCTACACACCAACCACCTAGTACCACATAGAAAATTAAATAATGTCCACTTCCTTTCCTACTCAGTAAAATAATTATTAGTGTACTAAAACCTTTTTAAATTATCTATTTGTTAATAAATTTCGAACTGAAAGATGAAAGTCAAATTTACTGTCACAATAAGTCGTGTGATTAATCTACATAAAAAAATGCGACTTACAATGGCACAAAAAATCCATTTTCCCTATTAATTTTTAATGCTGTATCAAAATTGCAGATCAATAAATACGATGTTCTTATCTTAGTCATATTCAGCTTATATTCTTTAATGAGGTCCAGTATTGTGACAGCAATGTTAAACTTGCTATCGTATGTAGGCATGGGCCTACAGTCGGAGTTATGTTTTTGGACGCTGCTGGGTCTCCTGCGAACAATATTCGACGCGACTCTGTTTAAAGTTAATGCCAATCTGAAACAGGTGCGGCATATTAAATTTGATGTTCTACGAAAAACGCTTTTATGGCTTTTATGGTTGCGTCATACGTTATTTGTGAGTACAAAACAGTATACAATGACCTTTTACTTTCACCCTAAAGCGATGAACTCCAAAGTGTTTATATCCACCGCCAGGGGTTCACTCCAACATCTAAGGGGTCAGAGAAAAAAAAGGAGGTGCATGAGACATTATTTATTTATTTCATTCATACAGCTATTTTTACAGGGCCATCCCAATACAATAGTGTAGCATTCCACATCGTCACAATCACATGACTTAACATTATAACTAAAAATAAAAATTTGATTATTGAAAATTAATAACAATTAATTAAGGCCAGTTTATAATAAAGTACTATAATGAATAATATACAATGAAATTTAATTAATTATGTACAAAGCAAAAACAGTGTTGCCTTCATGAACTCGCTCTCAAAACAGGTAAAAATGCCTACTACTTCAGCAACTCGATTTAGTGTGTGAATGGTGCGAGTAAGAGGCGCTTTGTTGAGCAGATTTGTCCTGACTCGCGACACCGCCAGCAGCCGTGGTCGTCGACGTCGGTGCACGTACTCGTTTGGCACGCATAGACAGAGTGATTGCAGCATTCCCGGGTTTGAAATTTTACCTCGCAATACTCGCACTATGTAACTTGCGAGAGCCAAGTCCCTCCTTGGTTCCAACTTGTTGTATCCAACCATACCTAATACAAATGAGGTTTGATACATCAAGGGATAGAAAGGATATACCCCACATAGTCTCATGTACAAGTATCTGGTGAATTTATTCTGGACACGCTCGAGCATGAGATTATACTTCGCTTCGTGCGGAGCAAGCGGATTAATGGGGGTCAACAAGAATGCTACCGATTTATGCAGCTCGTGACCAAAATTTAGGCTTTTCATAAATGGAGTAATCCACATTAGACAGATAGACATAAAAAATAGCCTGTTACAGTTCTTAAACATTTCAGAACAAACTAAATATTCGGTTTGATAATGCATAAAACTGAACATAACTTTTTTATAGTTTCTCACTAGCATAGTGTCAGTTGCTAAACACATATTTGAAGATGATGTTTTTGTAAAAAAGTCAATATTAGAAAAATTGGGAGTCCAGGCAAATCAGAAAAAATGTGCACGTGAGGCAAATCAGAAAAAATGTGCACGTGGTCTACCAGACGAAAAAGTTTGGGAACCTCTGCTTTTAGAGCTCTGTACAAAATTCAGTTAAATTATTATTTACATATTACAAGCACGCAAAAAATGTGGAAGTCGTTATAATAACGACTTAGCCCGGCGACTAGGAAAACAGCATGGTAACCGCTCGGCCACGGAGGCAGTGTTCTCGATCTAGTGTTACTTTAATGGTTTTCTTTAGAGGTTGGGTTTTAATGGTACGTTTCTTTACGAGTAGCTAATAATTATGGTATCCGAAAATCAACACGATTCAAATACTGATATTTTCAGGTGTGGCAAATGACAATGCCAGTAGAACTGTCGATGCCGGTACAGCGCGGGCTGCGTACCATGATCTCCGGCGTGATGCTTGTCCAGTGCTTCACCGTCTACGTCTACCTCGCCTCCTACATCGTCCTCCTTTATCCTATATTTTTGGTACTAATTCTCTAACACCTATTCATTATTACCTACCCAGCACGTTAAATATATGTATACAAGTAATACTTTTGCGTCTATTGCATATTTTCCGTCGTCCTTTTCTGTCTTAGTTTTTTAACGAGACGGACAAGTCGTGCCTCTGGTGGTAAATGACACTCCTTTCTGTAACAGTTGCAGTGCCATTCAGAGCTTTAAATCACAAAGATCTGAAGAGCGCTGCCACTGTGCCCGTTACCCTGAGACTTAAGGTGACAAGTCCATGTGTCCATAATTTCACCAGAATCCTTATCCATCAACACCGGAACGCAGTAAGGCAGTACTTCCCTGAATGAACTCTTTCACAAGGAGCTCTATTCCTACTAAGCCTGTGAATTCAACTTACAGCTCATGAAATGTATGAATCTATTGGTACGTGTTAACTTTGTAAGTATGCGAGCATATAAGCATTTAAATAATTGTGATTTTAGGAAGAAAGGCCAACGTTAGTTCTTCCCTGGCTACTGCTAGCAGCAATCAGGAAGTTTCTCTGCGAGCTGACGAGTCTGTCGCTTGGGCTCGGAGTATGCCTCTTGGTGGGCCCTGCTAGGCCCTCCTGCATCCGTTTCGTCATTATCAAGATTGCCGGTATCATCCCTGCCGTTTACATGTGGTTGCTTGTCCTAAGGTAGCTAGAACTAACTATATATCTATTTTTTAATTAACTACTGCAGTGTTCCTCTAAATAACTGTTTTAATAGTATAATAAATGTAGTTGTTTCCCTACAGTTATTACAATACGCTCAAAGTTACGGCAGCATTCCAAAGATTCCCAGCAGTGCTGCCATCAGGCGACGTCGATGTCGACTACGGACTCGAACTCGCTGTGCGCAGGCGTAGAACCAAATCCCTTATGAACGAAAGACTGTTACGCAGAAGAATTGTGGCTAATTTGTAAGTTCTTTTCGATAAGTACTGATTATTTTTAAATGTACGGTAAATTGTAAAATTATAACACTTACAGAACTAGTTACGGTGGTGATGGAACATCTGTGAAAGATGGCGTCATAATTTCTAGACCAACTGGTGAAAATGTAGTTGAAACTCCTTCGTCAGGATCTCAAGTAAATGAAGATGAAAATAGTACACATAATCAGGACACTACAAAAATTACGGATAATGTTATCTCAAATCTTATAACTGAGCGTTCAGTGTTGTTAGAGCCGGATGACGATTTTTGTGAAAGCGATTTAGCAATACCTCGTGACACTGACCGCATAATGGAACAGTTTATATTAATGTTATTACACATAGGTGCCTATTTAACTAAACAAGGAACTGGTTTAGCGCAGATGTATAGTACACACGCATCAGATTTGCTTCCCAGTACCCTTCTTCTTGGCGAGGACACGGATACTCCACCATCAGTTGGAAATGATAAAACGAGAACCACATCCTATTTACAACAATACCCTCATATCTTTATGAAAAAAGATTCTACAAGGCTTCGGACGAGCCCTCCTAACTCACCCGATGATTCAAGTAAAAATTTGAAGCGTAGTGAAAATAATTCAAAACTTAAAATATCAGATAAGTTTATCGACTTTAAGCCAACATTCGAACTAAAAGAGACACCTCACCAAGAAGTGTCTGAAATACTATTAGATGGCGTTGAGTCAAGGAACTATCGAGAACCTGAAAGTTTAAAAACTGATCACAACATCAGATTTGTAAGTTCAAAAGAAAAAGTTCACGAAGCTGTTAACATTTCTGAAGTCGGGAATTATGAGCGCAACAAAAATAATCAGCACGATAACCAATACACTGAAGAAATGACATCCTATAACTCTTTTGATGAAATTATTGAAAGAATCACACAAAGTATGGCAGAAAAACACAATGAAATAGACAGAATAACCTTGTCAAATCTGTCGAGCCAGTCAAGTCAGTCGACTCTGAGAGAAAATGGATCAAAACATGGAAACAAAAATCCAAAATCTGCTAGTAGCGACAAATAAATTACTACATTGTAATGTGTCTTGTATAAAATAAACGCTAGAAAAAATAACAGTGTACTCTAAGTAAAACGGTTTTATTTTGATGACACAATTAATAATAAAGTTATGTAAAACAAAAATACACTACTAAAGTAAAGAAGGCATTTTCTAACAATGGATTATAAAATAAAAAATAGAGTTAAAGGCATTTGCTTATTTTGCTGGTGATGATGGTTGACAAACACCGTTAGCTGCAGCTAAATCTAAATATAATACACGGAAATTGTATTCTTGTGGGTTCAGTAAGTTAAACTGATACATCGGCAACCGATTCGTTATTATCCACGCATACTGTGGAATTTCGTGATCTAGTCGTAGATCGTTAGGGAAGACTAAAGTGTTATTATTTTGCGCTACAATACCTAGATTGTCAATTTTGTATGGTTTGCGAGTGTCCCAACACCCGATACTGTCACGTGAAACAAGGTTAAAGTACATAATATCGTTGCGGTCAACGGCTGCGGCGGAGACCTGACCGTCAGCGCCTCGACTGTCCCCTAGCAACTTGAACTCCGCCACGGAGTCGTCCACACGAGACGGATCCCTTATCACCGATGTATTCACTACGAATTCTAAAGAACTTGACATTCCATGGTAATATAACTGCCTATCGTTTTGATGAAATCTGCCCAAGGACATCCCGAACAAGCCATCAGACCACTGATAATTTACACCATGCAATGTATAATTGGACAATAATGGTTCTGGATAGAAGGTGTAGTGTGAAAATCTCCAAAATGCTAAGTCAGAAGCTCTGAAGACTATGAGACCGAAACGTCTTGCGTCGGCAATGTATATATGAAGATCTCTACAACGAGCGTCCCTAGAATCCACTAAAAGGTTTGTTATAAGGGAATCCTGAAGGACGAATTGGTCCGGAATAGGATACCGTCCCATTACAGTATCTGTGCTTAAATCGATAGCGTACAGAGTTGGGGGGCAAAGTTGTCTTGGAGTTTCGAAACCTTCCACTTGGCCAGCGTCCAGTACCCACATAACTCCACAGTGGTCGATGTTCATACGGAATACCGATGTCAATCCAGTGCAATTTACTGAAACATGAAATAAAAATACTTTTTGATCGTCCTTATCACAAGCAACAAAGAGTCAAATTTAAATTTTATGTATCAAGCTTGACGTACTCTTGACCCAGTACTAATAGACTGTTGGTTTAGATGTCGTAAACTAAAGTACACTGAAAATGCCCCGCAGCTAAAAGCTATCGCGGCTATTGGGCAACCCTGTCAAAAGTGAAAAATAATCTCTGTTGCATTTAAGGTCAAGCGATCGAGTGTAGCTACGTCCTGTCACCTATGATGTTTAAAAGCGGAATATTGCCGCAGCCGCTTTAATAGTTTTATCTATGATTGTGATACGGCATTGTAAATGATATGTACTGAAAGCGGCTTTAACAATTTTTTTGATTCTCAAAATGCGTGAGCCAAAAGATTCTTTCATGCTATAATTAATGACCATTACCATATAATGACCAACTTATCGCAAGCGACATATTTATTTAGTGTTTTTTTATTGCAAATGATGTTTTAAACGAAGTATAACGGACAACCGTCGTCGACATTTTCCGCCAAAATTGTAACAAATAGAAATTCTCGCAGAAGTTAAATTTATCGTTAGCTCAACTGTTTTTTATATTTTAAATTTTTATTGAATTGATATTCAATTATTTTTTGTGAAATTACTCCACTAATTTGTTATAATTATTAATACAAAGATCGAACACTCAGAAAAATGTTTTTTATATTTTAGTGTAACCAACAGAATCAATATTAAAAAATCATGAAGCATGACGAGCGACCCCACTTGTTATAGCAACCGACATGGTACATCACCATTTCGTCGTTTACTAATAAACAGTAGCAAGAAACGTGTTGCACTTTTCGTTTTTTTTTCGTTGCAAAGTCTCAAAAATCTTTATAGAGATAGCAAAAATATTGTAAGCCCAAAAAAGCTTAGTATCTATTGTTTAAAAAAAAATGTAGTTGTTACAGAATTATTTAGTATCACATTTACCTAAATGCAGAAATATTAAAAAAACTTCTCCTGTAAGATTTATTTTTTATCGCATAACTAAGGTAATGGCTTGTCAGTGTCAATGTTCATGAAGATTTACACGGCTTGTTTTAGAATCTATAAAACATGAAGTGTTTGGCGTTTTTGCATTAGACAACTGACAGATAGATCCACTTACATTATTCAAATTAGCCTTATCTATGATGTAGTTCTGCTAGCACATAAAGGTTGGTACTACATATTTCGTTGTGGCACTAGCGCTAAATGACGTAACTGAACGTAGTTAAACAAAAATATCCAATGCACATCCAGTCACTTTCAAGATATGGTAGTTTAAAGTTTAAAAGTGTTTCTCACTTTTGTTTTATTTTCAAAACTTATAATGTCATGTAACTCCAGAGATATTTATTTATGTTTATATGTTGGATTTTTTTTACTGAGTTTGAGAGGTTACACTTTAGGCTGAATTCACACTGGCACAGAGTCGAAGCGTCGCGTCGCGTCATGTTTTTCAACTACAACGCATGCGACGCGTGTCGTCGCACGACGACGTTCGCATTAGCGCGCCCGGATGACAGTGCTCGACCAGTTCAAAGACTTTTGAACAATCGTGAATGGCGTTCGTGCTCGACAGTACGCAATGGTTGGTATCGATCTTATTATTATTGCTCTTATGTCTGAAGCTGAAGAGGAAGAAACTGAAATTATATCAGAAGCTGAAGGGAGAAAATGAAAACGGAAATTTTGGGCTCACGAGTTATGGAAGAAAAGACGTATACTTTACGAATTCAAAACACTTTGTAGAAACGACTTAAGCCGGGACTCAAGATATTTTTAACATTATTATGTTACATGTATAGACATTCATATTTTTGGATTAAGTAAATTAATTTTTCGTTTTCATCCATTGTTGCGCACTCGTTTCGTCGCAGTCTGGTGTGGTCGGCATCTGACGCTTCACAACTCGCGAAACCGCTCGACTTTAACCAAGGGTCGACGCGCGATTCCATATTTGCATAACACAAATTTGTAAGAATAGAGATGAATATACTATAGGCGAAAAACATGACGCGTCGCGACGCTTCGACTCTGCGCCATTGTGAGTTGAGCCTTAGGTTGAGATTGGTACATGTGACTCATTTTTTGATAATTTTGTGGATTAAATAACATAAGATTATTTTTGCTTAACTACGATACTCGATGACTACGTCCAATTGAAAGGTGGCTTTACCTGCGTTATGCCAGTCCCAACTAGGATAAGGGATCAAAGCGGGAGAAGAAACTTCAGCGTGTATTGGCAGAACAGACAAACTAGCAGGCACTCCTCTCTTCCACTTTGGTGTACTGATGAAAAGTCGATCCTTCCATCTTTCCACGCCCAATGGAATTACGTTCGTTTGGTTGAATAGTCTGCAAGATATCAATCGCCTTGTAATAGCTACTATTATAGAGAAACTAACATGTTATTAGTAATTACGTGTTTCGAAATAGGATTTCACTTTGTTTAATACAACTGTGAATTGGTAGAATTTTCACTATTCAAACGTTAAAGTATAACTTTTGATTTTTGTTTGTCGAAATTAATTTGTCTTCATATGGATAAAATGAAAACAATGTTAGATATCTATTGGTGTTACATGTTTATGAGTGGTAAAGAAAAAAAAGCCTTTTAAGAGGCTAATAAGTGATCTTTTGACCCTGAAATGTTGGTTGTATGAGTTCAAATCAGTCCAAAATTACTTTTACTTACTGTGCCCTACATTTATGTCATGTTGGTCTCAAACTGAGGAGTTTTCTGAAGTATCTACCTGACTCTAAGGGCACTGCCCAATATGAAATTTAGAAAAGATCCAACCGGGAAATAATCCATTTACCGCTGTGCTACCGCTTTCGTTAAATTAATTAATTAATAGATTCAGGTTATTCCTTTGCGAAAATCCATGTTAATAATAAAATTAGAAGTAAACGAATGCATGAAAAACAAGAAACAATACAAAGCCATCTATTTTGCACGCTTTCATGTTCTGCACTCGGTTCGCGGCGTAGCAAATTACTTTAATTCCGTTTTTGGCCGTTTATTGGTGGTCATACTAGCTTGTCATACTGATATGACCAATGAGAGTTGTTTGTATTGGCGGTCATATTCAGTCAGTATTAACATCCTAAGCAGCAGCTTCATCAGAGGAAATACTGAATCCCAAACTGGTGGTACCGAGAAACCATCTTCCCTGTTGAAATTAGGATGTTTTGTAATTTCAATGGCCTCTCGCAGCATCCTGGGTAGATAACGAACTTCTTTTGGAAGGAGCTGGTGTTTGTCAAACTTCATTGAATGTGTAGGTTTATCCATGACATGCTCGCAGACTGTAGACTTGTTTACGCGACGGTGTTTGACAGTACCACTAGTTTGGGATCCAGTATTACCTCCGATGAAAAATCCCAAACAGACATAAGACTGCAGTACTACTTAATATGTTTTAATTTATTCTAATTTCTATTATTAATAGAATTTAACTACTAAATAATAAATTGAACTTAATAAAAATTCATTCAATAAAATAATTTGTAAAACGTAATGTAGCGTAAATTGGAATGTTTTCTTTGTAAAATAAAAAATAAGGTATTTAATTAATAACTTTTTTAACTATAGTGAAAAATAGGGTAGTTTGCATTAATATTAGACATAACTGATTGATGACTGCACCACCTCAGTCAACCGTGACCATGGGACCTGTAAAGGGCCCGAAACGTCGGTTTGTTTATAAATATACGCGATTTAAATCCGGAAAAATAGTTTCATTTCCTAAATTAATTATTTCATAATTTACTACTTCAAAAAAACTATAAAACTTACATACCCGTTGTTTATAGCCATCTGCCTTTCTGCTGTAGAAGGGTAAACGAAGTCTATCTGTTTCCATCTGTACAGGGTGCCCATTATCTTTTTAGGGCTGACGTTTATGAGACCGTAGCTCGTGGCGATGAGAGAGGGCAGAATCAAATATGACAAAACGTTCATCTAAAAAAGACAAAGATTAAAATGTTTAACCGATGTACTGGAATCTTATTATATAAAAAAAATTAAAGGTAATCTTAATTTGGTCAGTTACTAAATACTTTGAATATTTATTGTAAACACTTGAAAATATTGTGTGTGTATCGTTACTTCAAAGTGTCTCTCTGTTTGTTTAGATAATTTTAGTTCTTGTGATCAAATCATTCTTCATTCATAATTAGTAATTCACAAACTTCTGTATGATGAACACGGAGAGAGCATAATCAATAAGGCATCCAAAGCGTAAGGCTTCATTATGAGGACATCTCTAAATTTTAAAAACTTAAAAACATAATAAAAATTATTTTCTGTGCTTTTGTACGAAGTCACCTGGAATACGCGAGTCAAGTCTGGAACCCCAAGTATAAGATTTACATTAATCGAATAGAAAATATCAAAAAGAAATTTTTGCGATATTTAGATTACAAAGCTCAAGTTTGGACGTCAGGTTATATCTACTGCTACAAACGATACCATTTTCTTCCTTCAGAACTCCGACGTACAATAAGAGGCATTTCTTACCTAATGAGCGTTGCTCGTGGATCTATAGACTGTCCGGATTTACTTGCAAAAATACAGGTCCGTACTTATAGAAAAAGCCTCCGTGAACGACCATTGCTAAACATACTTTTGCTTATAACTAATTACATACAAAATTCCTTTATATTGCGTATCTCCTCTGCGTTTAATAAGTGGTGTGCGGACTGTGATCTCGATTTGTTTTGAGCTGCAGTAAAACGGCGTTTAAGTACAAAAATCTTTGAATGCATGTGGAAATGGTAGATTGCAGGTTTTGTGGTCTAAGTGACCGTCATTTACTTTTGCTGTTGGTTGTACTTAGTGAGCTCAGGATACGATAGTTGTAGCATCACCTTTATTTTTTGGTAATTTTTATATGGGGAACTCATCATCAGAATTTGAAAATTTGTTTAATTTTCTAAGTCACTGTTTGTCTGTCAGTTCACCGACAAGAAATTAAATAAGTAAATAAATTAAGTCATTGCACTATATATGCAATGTATATACAATATTTTTAATGCTTTAATCAACTTATAGAAACATGTGAAAATTAAACGTGAACTTCTTTTTACAATATTAACAAAAATAGTGTTTACCATCGAAGAAAAAGTTTTCCTCTGTTGTTGCAAATCCAAATTCCCAACAAGAACTTATGGAAAAGACGTTTAGTACACTAGTTTTAAATTTGCGTAATAGATCACTCAAACATTGTTTAAGCTTAGGGCACTTAATACTGAAAATGTGTGGTAGCTCGAAGTATGTGTCCGGAAGTGTATTTGTTAATCATAAAAACCCAGGCAGAAGAATGCTCCGTCTATGATCGTATTTAGTTTATATGGCTCCTTAGGGTCGCGTTGTCACAAACAAGTCGCATATCTACTCTATTGTAGAAAAATTACATAAATCCAATTACATTTTTTCGATATTACAATTGGTTGGATGGGTAGGCCCTCTAATTCGTATAATTCTAATAACAATATTGAATGCTTTATAGCAAAAAAACTAAAACACAAAATAGAGATTAATATTACCGTTTCAGACACCTGATTTTCAAACGCCCTAAATGTTATTTTTTATAAATGAATCTATTTGAAAAGCGTTTAATTTTTGATACTTTTCCCCAAACTAGTGACCCAATCTGGAATGGAAAAAATGGAAAAAAATAGTCTAAGGCCCCAATAATATTGACTTTTGACGTCAGTGTCCCGTATAAGAATTGAAATAGAAATTATTATTTATTAAAATTGAGCCACATGGAAAGAGTTGTTTATCCTATGTCCACCTGAGTGGACCATGGGCATTAAGATCTATCACACTATACGTAGAGCTTGTTCTATAAAATATATAGACAGGTGGTTTACAAAAAGTGTGACCATCACAAAAGAAATAATCTCAGTGCAGAGTACTAAAAAACCGACCTCAAAAGTACGTGGAATTACGTCTATTTGCTAAGTTTTATTGAAATATCCCCTAGTTCGCCACTATACAGGACTTGACACTGGAGATAATAATAATCGATTCTCACTACTCAAAGTATATTGAGAGAAAAACGCCTTGAATTGGAGAAATAGCAAAATCAACGATTAAAATAATTACTCCTAAATTAAAGTTAGGCGCTATTTATAAAACTGAATCTTCATGCGTGAACAGCCACCCTTAAAGGTGGATGATTTTCTTCAAAATGAAATGGGACTACTATGGAAGTACCCCGTACACCAAAAAAAAAAGAATCATGAAAATCGGTTCGCAAATACCGGAGTTATAGCGTAACATACATACAAAAAAAGAACATACAGTCGAATTGAGAACCTCCTCTTTTTTTGAAATCGGTTAAAAATATAATATAAAAGAGATCAACGACATTACATCATGCAATTTGCATTTAAGTTGTTTTTGTTTGTATGCCTGCGTGTGTGTTATGTCTGAATTTACATAATTGTTTATGGAGTACTAATATTTTAAATGGTTTTATGGTGTCGTAGGGAAGAGAGGAAAAAAATCCACTTGTCCCCACCAGGGAGGACAGCTGTTAGGGACTAGTGGAATAGGTCAAATTGCGAGGGTCTGAGGAGCATTGCGCTCCTCACCTTGAGATATAAATTGACAAATTCCATGTGCATGTAATTATAGATAGCAGATTACGATCGCAACCTTCTCCATAAATGTTTACCTCGTCCATCACTGAGAGAGTAGAGGATTTGATACAAAACGTCGTGTACACTTAGTTTTTATTTTTGAAATAGACGTTTTGTGGTGGAGTTTGTACAATCTTACATTTCTAAAAATCCTAAAATAACATTCGAAGCTTCTCATGTCATATTTTATTTATTATTTATACTAAATACCAAACAAAATAAACTAGTTTAAAAAAAATACATATGGAATAATCCACCACAGTTTTCTCAAACATACCACGGGCGCCAGTCACTCATTTTAAGTAGCAGATATCCCAAAATCGTAATATGTTCCATAGTCATGTCATATCATTTATTGCATATGTGGTACATTGATTAGTAGCAGTAGAGCTCCCTATGAAAGAGTTCGTCCAGGAAAGTAGCGCCACCTTAACTACTTCCCCCGCCAAGCAGTAAAGTCGGTATTACTGCGTATACCGACTTTGAAGTGTAAGCGTCCAGTTACACGAGGGGAAAAATACGGGCGGCCGCCGCGCGGCAACCGCCCAGTTCCCACGCCCGCACGTTAATGGCAAATCTAAATTCCATTTACTAGGCGCCAACGTTTATATTCCTCTGAAAATACTAACATGTAAAAGCTAAATAAATAGAGCGTATTTTGCCATGACAGTTAGACGAACGCGGTCGCTGTGCGGCGGCAACGCGGACTCCACTCGGGTGTGCGCGACGAAATTCGTGTCGAAAAAAAATGCCCTGTGAAATTATAGGTACATGGGATTTGTCAACTTGTGTCCCAGGGTGTCGGGCGCAGTGGCAGTGCCCCTCAGATCTTTGCGATTTAAAGCCCTGAGTGGCACTGCAACTGTTATGGACAGGCGTGTAGCTTACCATCAGGCGCATGACTTGATCATCCCGTCAAAAAAAAAAACATAGTACACAGATTTAATTAGCTCGCTGCTATTGTGAATGAACGTACATATTATTACTAACCCGTAGGTACATGAGTACCTATTTATTTAGCAGGTACTATATTTATGTAATTGTACCCAATTATTAGTGTAGTAGTGATAAGATCTATATGTCATCAGCTTTAATGTTGAATACCTACACTTTCTTAATTATATTGTGCCCTACGGAAATTATAACTAGGTCAATTTTGCTTAACGGCTGACTTAACATTGGAGTCGATATGTAGTTTGACCACGGAGGTCGACAACCTGACATTAGCTCACAACCGTGAGTAAATTTAACATGTATTAAATCATATGTTTTATGATATTGCAAACACTAAGAGCGTAGTCACACGCGTTGTATTCAAACGATAATACAAGGGCAAAATAATGGTTGGACGCCATCTTGTGTAACCATTATCACGCAGTCGACGCAATAGTATCTCCACTACTGAAATTGTTAGTCTAGTTCAGGCGACTGTAATGGTACAGCCAGCTTCTAGTGCAATTGGATTCCAGCTCATATGACTAGACTTGAAAAGAAAAGAAGGAAAAGGGATATTGTAGTGATAAAATTGTATTATAATAGTAACAGTAGAGCTTCTTGTGAAAGAGTTCGTCCAAGGAGTAAATAATAAATAAATAAATATTAGACAACATCACATACGATGTTCTGATCCCAAAGTAAGTAGTTAAAGCACTTGTGTTATGGAAATCAGAAACGAGGACGGAACCACAAACACCCAGACCCCAACCCAGAATAGAAAAGTTAGTTTCTACATTGACCCAGCCGGGTTTCGAACTCGGAACTTCAGAGATGGCAACACCATGAAAACCGGTGTGCAAGCCACTGGACCACGGAGGGTGCCATGGGCAGAAAGTTCTGCCACGTTACCTATTTTCTAGCGCAAAGCAGTAATATAAGCAGCGTTCCGGTTTTTAAGGGTGAGGGTATTGGTGTTATAGGCACATGGACTTGTCAACTTTTGTCTCAGGGTGACTAGGGTAGTGGCGGTGCACCCCAGATTTTTTTCAGTGACACCGGAATTGCTATGTACAGACGTGTCGCTTACTTACGTCAATTGTTACCATAAAAAGTCGTATTTTTTTTTCAAAAGTTCTTTTGTATTCTTTATAATTACTTACGATTCCTTTGTACAACCTACGTTGTGTAACAAAAATATGCTGTTGAATTTTATAATAATACAATTGTATAAGTTACGAATTAATATTTGTCGTCCTGTATGTTGCATAGCAATACAGGATTGTAAGAGAATGTTGCTACAAAACTAGACCTGCGCAAAATTATGGTTATTTGTAGATTCTATGTT